ACTCTAGGTAGAGCTATGCTAATCCTATAGCTGTCATTTAATGAATGCGAAATTACAGCAAGGAATCTGAATGAGCAACAGGAAAAGAAAGTCCTGGGTCATGTTTTCATTTACTACTGCTCTTGGACACTGAGAGCACTTCATTTATCACCAGGATTCCAAAAATTAAGAGACCATGGGGAAAGAGCACCAGCAAGCACACGATGTATATTCATCAGCAGAGCACAGCATTCAGCTGCACTGCTCGTACAAAAGGATCCAAAGATAAATTAGAAAGTGCATGAGAACTTTGCGGGATGCCAATATTTCTCCCAGCTCTGCATCACGCACTCCTCCTGCAACTCGTGCCTCCCCTGGGGCACGAGCAGGCGCAAAGTTTGGGACGGGTCTCGGTGGGCTGGGACAGCCGTGCCCGGCGCTTTGAGCAGAGCCACAACCGAGCACACAAAGAGGCAAAACCAAACCAAGCCAAAAAGACGCCAGAGAGCCCCCGAGGCTCTGTGGCAGCACCAGGGCATCCCTCCCGAGCTGCGGGCTCGCTCCTCCAGCAGCACTCTCCATCCTCCCCGCTCTCTCCGGCCCCAGGGCTGCAGCCGCAGCCGCTTCTCCCGCTGCAGGGACGAGGGAGCGCCCGCCCGCCCGGCGCTACCGGCGCTGCCCGGTGCCCCCGGGAGGCTCGCAGGGCTCGGAGCCGCTGCCCCAGCCCCGGCCCGGCCCAGGGAACGGGGAGCCCATCGGTGACAAGGACCAGCACCACCAGCCCCGCGCATCCCCCGGCCCACCTGAGGTGTCCCACATGTTGAGCTCGGTGCGCTGCTTGTCGATCTCGAAGCTGGCCGTGTAGTTCTCGAAGACGGTGGGCACGTAGCTCTGGGGGGATGAGGGGAGAGCACAGGTGAGCCCAGGGGAGCTGAGGGGAGCCCGGCCCGCCCTCCCGCAGCCCTCCCGCACCTCGGGGTAGCAATCCTTGGCGAAGACGTGCAGCAGCGCGGTCTTGCCGCACTGCGTGTCCCCCACCACCACGATCTTGCAGCGCGCCAGGTGCCCCTCCATGGTGCGGGGCCACCGCGCCCGCTCCGCCGCCGCTTTACCGGGCCGGGCCCGGCCTGGCCGCGCCCCCGGCCCCGACGGCACCAACCAGGCGCGGAGCGGAGCCGGCGCTGGGCAGGGCCGAGCCGCCACGGCCGCGGCCCCGGGAGCCGCCCCCCGCCGGCCCCGCCGCCCCTCGGGGCGTCCCCTCGGTGCTGCTGCCGCTTGTGGCCAGCCCCGGGACACGGCGGGTGGAGGATCCGGGGTGCCCGGGATGGGCTCGCACCCCTGGGATGGACCCACAGCCCTGGGATGGACCCACAGCCCCGGGATGGGCTCACAATCCCCGGGATGGGCCCACACCCCTGGGATGGACCCACAGCCCCCGGGATGGACCCACAGCCCCCGGGATGGGCTCACAGCCCCCGGGATGGGCTCACAGACCCCGGGATGGCCCCACAGCCCCAGGATGGCCTCACAGCCCCGGGATGGACGCACACCCCCGGCCCCGCACTGCCCGGGATGAGCTCACAACCCCCGGGATGGGCTCACAGCCCCGGGATGGGCTCACAGCCCCAGCCCCTCGTTGCTTTCCCTGCCCGGGAGATGCCCCTTTCACCGGGGCTGCCCGGGGAACAGGAGCTGCTCCCTGAGGAATTCGGCAGAATCGGGTGTAGCCCCGCATTTCTCTTCACAGAGAAAAGCAAGGCACAAAATTCTTCCCAAGAATATTTCTGGGATTCGCATTCACTGAACCTCAGAGAAAGGAAAAACGATTCTTACAATTCCCTGTGCCTGTGTTTGTGCAAAAGTAGAATGCAACATGGAAATTGTTTACCCACAGTGATGGTGATTTGTTTCCTTGGCCTGTCAGCGCCGTGTGTGTGTGTGTGTTGGGACTGTCACGAGATTTGGTGCAGTGTGTGCAGAGTTGAGTGCTTGGCAGGTTCAGTTTTAGATGTATAGAATAATATAGTATAATAAAGTTATTAATTAGCCTTTTGATATCAATGGAGTCCTCCTCGTCATTCTCTCCCCTCGTCGGGAGCAAAAATATCCACTATAAATGGGGACAGCTGGAATTCTGTGCTCAAAGAACCCCTGTCCCCGATGTCTGTGGCCAAGTGACATCAGCAGGGACAGGGAACTGCAGCAGCTGCATGACCCCAGGCTGCCCTCCCAGCCCTCTGCAGAGGGGGCAGAGATTTCTGCTCTCCATCCCTCCCCGAGCACAGACAGCACATCTATAAATTACAGGCAGTGATTTTAATTAGCAGCCTTCTCTGCTGCTCGTATTTTGCTGGCCACGCTGCAGGAAGATTCACCTAAATGGCAAACTGACAGGCTGCCTGTCAGAAAATGCAGTGAAAATAGACACAAGGAAGACAAAGAAGGCCTGGAGAAAAGGAAATGAAAATGTTTTGGCAGCGAAACAAGATTATTAATGGACTGAGGAGGCAGATTGTTTTTTGCTGAAATCACAGTCATGTTTTGTATATAAATATTGGTGCTGTGCATGGTGCTGGGACAAGTGAAGAGCAAAGACAGGGAGCAAGGCACAGGGGGTTACCATGCATGTACCCAGTGGTTTCAGGTGCTTCTTGGCCTTCTGACAGCCCTGCCAGCCTTGCCCCCGGGGACACACCAGCCTCAGTCAGCACTTTGGAGCTGATGCCTTCATGTGGTCACAAACCACGCAGGTGCCACTCTCAGGGTGCAGCCCTGGGACAGGAGCCAGGTGCAAGCAGGGCTAAAGGTGTGTCTGAGGCACATTCAGCTGGCCAGGTGGGAATTCAGGTCCCACCTCATCATCACAAACCAGAGAAGACCCAAAAGCTGGAGGGATGAGGTGGTCCAAGGAGACAAGGTAGTCCTGGAATCCCTGCAGCTCCTGTCCTCAGCTGCTCTTATTCCTGCTTTTTGTGGGCCAGGAGCTGGCGCAGTCTGTTCTTTGTGCTGTGGGTTTTGCTGCAGCATCCCTGGGCCTCCCAGCCTTGTCTTCAGCAGAATGCTGAGTGTCTGTCTCATGCTTGTTTCCTCCAGCTCTCCCTGGGGAAAGGAGCCTGTGCAGCACTGACAGGTTTTATAAGGCCTGTAGTGATTTTTTGCCTTGTATGTGCGCATGTCACTCCATTTTTATGCAGAGGAATGGAAAGGAAAGTTCATTGTCTTGTGACTGCAGGTAAAGGAGTGCAGGGTGTTCATCAGTGTCACCTGGAGCAGGGTTTTCCCCTTTCTGACAGCACTTCCCCATGTTTCTCAGTAGGAATTTGGTTTTTGCTCCCCACCGTCAGGCTGTGGAAAGCCTGCTCCAGTGGAGGCAGGACGCTCTCTGCAGGGAGCACCCAGAGCTCTGCAAACCCCACTGCCACATTTTCCTTCAGGACAGGGAGAGGCAGCCAGCTGCCCCTCCTGCTCAGAGCTCCAGGGCACCACCATAGCTGAGCCTCACCTCCCCTTCAGTGCAGAGCAGAATTCAGCCCTGGTGAATATATTCTGTTGCAGAATGCATTCAACGAGCCTTCATCATGGTGTGAATTTTCTGAGTAGGCTGCAGAGCCTTGCTGTGGCTGTCACTGTGTGTGGAGAGGCGACAGATGGCTCTCACACGTTTGCTCCTGGAAGTGCTTCCCCTGGATCCTCCCTTGCTGATCCACCCTCTCGGGGTCTTAATTGCTGTTATGAATTAAATTTATTGGGTTATATTGATGCCATTCTCTGTACAAAGAAACGTGAAGATATTCTGCACTGGGAAAATATATATATATTATTATATATTATATGTATATTATATATATATTATATGTATATTTTATATATATATATTATATATATATTATATATATACATATATATATATATATATATATATATATATATATATATATATATATATATATACACATATACATATATATATATATATATATATATAATATATACTGTGAGAAGCCAATTTTCACTGAAGGACCCCACAGCCTGAAACTTGGAGCCTGTGACATCTTATTCTGGTCCACAGATGCCCAAAGTTTGGTCCTGTACAGGCAGTCCAGAGTCTCTGGACTGAACTTCAAGAGTGGTGAGCAAGTGAATTACTGAGTGAGCAGTGTCCTGGCGTCTGTCACACAGCCAAGGTCCCTGCAAGAAGCACAGACACACCTGGTGAGACGTGCCCTGGTGTCACCCTGGGATCAGGGACAGAGCTCTGCTCATCACACCGTGCAGTGACAGTTTCCTGCATTTTTATGATGATTGTTCAGTTTTTACCCCTCTTCTCTTTGGCATTTGTCTCAGTGTGTGTGCAATGTCTTATTTCCCAGCCTGGGACAGAAATAAGGGACACACTTCAGTGTCCCACCAGATCTAGTCTTAAATATCTTTTTGGATTTGTCAAATGTGGGAAAGAGCTAGAAACCACCCAGGCCAAGCTGTAGAGTATTGCTAACTATGAACACGTGGAGTTGAATCATTCAGCCTAGAGAGGTGTTATTTGATGCTTTCCCCTGGAAGATAAAGAGGTAGAAAAGCAGCAGAGTGTCATAGCCGGGTAGAAGAATTATAAAATGAAGGTGTTATGAAATCAGGCTTTGCTCTCCTAAAATTGCCAAAGCTGGCCTGGCATTTCTTCTAAGTGCAGCTAAAAAGAAATTTGCAAGTTCTCGTGGACACATATTCCCAGGTTGTTGAATACATCCTGCAAATGAGAAATTAATTTAACACAACAATCTATTCTGAGGGTGAAAAACAAATGCACCTGTGTAAACAATGAAATTTGTCCCATGAGAACCCACAAAGGAGAAGTGTAAACATATCTAGAGAGAGAAAATTTGATAGACACATCCACTGGCCCTTAGCATCCAATGAACTGAGTTTCACTGTATTGCTGACCAATTAGGCTCAACACAGCGCCTGCTGATATTTCCTACAAGTATGAGCTTGCTGAATAAAGAATTGGCTTTCTGCACGAAGAAAATGGAGTCTGGGCTGATTTATTCCAACAGAAGGTGTCCCCGAAGACGTGACCGACGCGAGACGAGCAGCCTGTCACAAAAGGAGGAGGTGAAACCAGCCGAGCCGGCCGCGGGACGGGATTCAGAGACGGAAAACACAAAGATGTGAAAGGAAGATTGCAGCGAGAGCGGGCAGAGCGCACAAACGCAGCGCCGGCCGCAGGATCGGCACGGATAGAAATTCCGGCAGCGAATACGCAAAGCAGCAAAAAAGGAACACGCAAAGCAGCAAAAAAGGAATACGAAAAGCAGCAAAAAAGGAATACGAAAAGCAGCCAAAGGAATATGCAAAGTAGCAAAAAAGGAATACGAAAAGCAGCAAAAGGAATATGCAAAGCAGCAAAAAAAGGTTACGGCTACGGTCAGCAGCGGGATCGGCGCGCAAACGGCAAAGACAAGAGCCGGTGAAGCGGAGAGGAGCAGGAGGTGCACAGGAGGGGCTGCAGACGGTGTGGAACGCACAGAAATGAGCACAACACCCGGCAGAAAGCGAGGTGGGAGCAGAAGTGCGAGCTGCAAAGGCCGTGCCGAGCCGCGGGAGATGCGCAGCCGAAAGAGCCGCGCAAGGTGAGGCAGCCCCGGCGCTGCTGCGGAGAGAAACGCGCAGCGATCCTGGGGACAGCGGGGACAGAACAGCGGTGAGTGAACGCTCGGCTGATGCTGGGAAAACGCCAATCGCTTGTTTTTAAATTTTTTCAAAAGTTTAATAGTAATGAAATGGTTATAAAAATAGTAATATAATTGGAGTAATAACAATTTGGACAATTGAGATTAGGATAATACGAGACAAGAAAAAACAAAGAGTTATGGACAGTCCGGGTACCTCTTTCTGGGTAAAATAAGCCCGAAAAAGGACCCAGGTTAACAGAGGATTAACCCTTAAAAGCAATAACCTGTTGCATATTCATACACCTTGTACACGATGCATAAATTCCATTCAAACACAGGATTCTGTCTGGGCAGTGTCAGCTTCTTCCTCTGAATCCTGACGGTGTCTTCAGGACTGAGCAAGGCAGGAAGAAGTTTGTTTCTTCTGATAATGGAGCAATAAATTCTCTTTGTCTGAAAGATTCAGGTGTCCTGTGGATGCAATCTGGTATGAGTTCCTCATTCCTCTCTTGTAAAAAGTATCCCACGTACACAGTTTCCATTTTAACTACAAAAGTTACATTCTAACCACAAAACTACATTTACAGCACTATTAAAATGTTAGTACAGCACCACTAATCAATACAACATAACACATATCGTAAATATCTGCACAGAGCCATATAATATGCACTTTTCACAGCTAGTTTTAACATTTGCAGAGGATATCCCCCCAGGGTTATGAGGGATGGGTCATGGCAGAGATAAAGAACATTCCCCCACCTGGTTTTAACAGCTGGTGATAGAACACATGCTCCTGGTTACGTCTTGCATTGCAATCTAAGACAGTTAAATGTCATTTTTCTCACAATGTACAGTTGTTTTCTTTTAGGAGATGACTCTGACTAAAACAGCTGTGAAGAAACACTGGTGAACACCTGTTTGTGGATAAAGAAGGTACAGAGTGTTCACCCTTGATTTTATCCAAGATTTTATTGCTTGTTAGCAATCTCTGCTGTTTTATCTTCCATAGATAACACAGAAGAATTAGTGATGATTCTACATTATGGCTGTTATTGATTGTGAGGTGATTCAGTGTTTTCCTCTGTTTCATTTTGCTGTCTTGGGGACATGACTTTTTAGAAAGTTGTTATCTCAACTTCCTAAGACAGTTATTGCTGATGCATTGATTACATGATGTGAATTTACTGATTTTATAATAGGCATCATTCATAAGATGCCATTACTGTATTTATAGCTGGCTTCTTATATGCTTTAACATCTTTTTGTGTAATTATCTAAAAGACACATGTCATTTCAGGATCCCTTTTTCTTCTCTAGCCACTTATGCATCTCTTAGACCAGCTGTGCTCTCTGGCTGGTCCCTGCACTGGCTCTATGGTTTGACCCAATGCTGTCTCAAAATTTTAAGTATTTTTCAGAGTTCCAAGGAAAGATACCTGAGCTTCATTGAAACCCCCCTCCAAACTTCAAGTCTGGTGGTTTTCCCCAGTTATCATTACAGAAGCACTCCAGCAGTTTGCTGTGTTTGAAGCATCTCAGTCCTGAAGGAAACTTCAGAGGGACCCAGCCACTGGATGCTTTGATCAGTCTTTCACCCAAGGCCTTTACTCATAACTGCTATTCTTAAGAGCCTTGTTTTAAAATGTGTTTAGGGAATTCCCTCCCACTTGGAGCTTGAGTGGTGGCCAGGCCTTGGCTCTACCTGGATGGAGAATTTGCCAACAAACCCAAATGTTTTCTGCACCAAAACCAGATTCAGGTCACTTTGACGTCACAATTTGACCCTTTATATATGATAGCTGAACCTATTTTTAGAGTAAGCTTGGGTATTATTATCTGGAAATAATTATCCAAGCCCTCACTAAATTGAGGTTGGTCAGCTGTTTGCAGACTCTGGGATGATGGTACAGTATTTCAGAGATTCCTAATTTCACATGTATTATTAATTATGTGTACTATCTGAAGTATTCTTAATTGTTGTACCTGACTTATTCTTGATTACTGCCAGTTTCTTGTTCACTACATGTATTGTTTTGCCTTGGTGTTTCTTCATGCAAATGAGAAGTAGATTTAACACAACAATCTATTCTGAGGGTGAAAAACAAATGCACCTGTGCAAACCATGAAATTTGTCCCATGAGAGCCCACACAGGAAAAATGTAAACATATCTAGAGAGAGGAAATTTGATAGAAATATAAAATATGAATGAACTGAGTTTCACTGTATTGCTGACCAATTAGGTTTAACACAGTGCCTTCTGATATTTCCTACAAATATGAGCTTTGTGAATAAAGAATTGGCTTTCTGCATGAAGAAAATTGAGTCTGGGCTGATTTATTCCAACAGCAGAGATGCAGCAAATACAAGTCAGCAGCAATTAGGAAGGTTAAAAAAAGAAAGAGAAAAAAAAATCCCAGCCAAATCCCCTTTCATGTGTCCATCCTGTTTACATTCTGGGCTAGAATAATGCTGATCTGACTCACTGCTGGCATTAATGAAGTTTGCACCTCTGGGTGAGCAATTTAATTTATCTCAGCAAGCCAAAGCTCATTATAACAGTCCACAAATGCTATCAGATGAGAGCAGCATCCTTCAGCAACCTCAGGGATTAAAGCAAGGAGGCATCCAAGTGCCAAGGCTTCTGCTGGAAAGACTGCAGAAAGTCAGAGCATGTGTGCTGAGGAAGAGCAACGCCTCAATTACTGCTGCAGATTTCTCTGTGTGCAGACACCGAGCTGAGCCTCTGAAACACCCTTCTGGAGGTGTGAAAAATGCTTTATTTATGTTATTATTTTATGGTTGAAAATCATAAAAAAAGGGCCCCCGGACAGCAGCAGAATTGGTGGTGCTGCAGAGAAACCCAGGTGTGAAAAATGCCAATCGCTTGTTTTTAGAATTTTTCAAAGTTTAATAGTAATAAAATGGTTGTAAAAATAGTCATATAATTAGAGTAATAATAATTTGGACAATTGGGATTAGAATAATATGAGACAATAAGAACAAAGAGTTATGGACAGTCCAGGTACCTTTTCTGGGTAAAATAAGCCCGAAAAAGGACCCACGTTAACAGAGGATTAACCCTTAAAAACAACAGCCTGTTGCATATTCATACACCTCATACATGATGGATAAATTCCATTCAAACACAGGATTCTGTCTGGTCAGTGTCAGCTTCTTCCTCTTCAGGGCTGAGTGAGGCAGGAAGAAGTTCGTTTCTTCTGATAATGGTGCAATAAATTCTCTTTGTCTGAAAGATTTAGGTGTCCTGTGGCTGCTATCTCAGTGTGAGTAGCTCATTCCTCTCTTTAAAAAAAGAGTATCCTACATAGCATAGTTTCTATTTTAACATTATGTTATAACCTAAAACTATATTTAACAGACTACTTAAGAAAATGAATACAGCATCACTTTCTAACACAACACATATAATATTCATTTGAATATTTGCGAAAAGCCAATCATAAAATACACATTTTTCACACCAGGTCTTGATCCAAGGCACAGCTACACTGTCCAATCCTGCCTCCTGTACCCCAGAAAGCCTGAGCACACAGAGGCAAGTCTGTGCATTTTCAGTGTGGTAAAACCCACTGATGATCAGATAATGGGGTTCTCACGGGTGCACAGCATGTGGATGTGCTAAGCCTGTGATTTTGGGACCATAATTGTCAGTAAATTATTGATGCTGTGGCATAAGGTTGAAGTTAAGGAGACTGATTCTCATTCCACACGATTTCTCCGAGGACTGCAGTGGAGAAAGTGCCTCCTTCCAGAGGAGGATCTGCTCAGAGCACACCTGGGATCTGGCCCCATGCCATTCACTGCCTCTGCACATCCCCAGCCTCTGCTGCTGGGCAAAAATGGAGAATTCCCACAGCCCTTGTGGGAGTGATGCTCTGTGCTGGGAGGATTTCTTCAGCAAGCTGCCATCCACTGAGCTTCAGTCAGCACTTGACAAGTGCCTCAATTTGTCTGTGATCAAAACAGCAGCGCAGGGAGCTGCAGCTGTGAGTGGCAGCTGTGTCTGAGGGGTTCTGTCAGATCTCTTCCACCTGCTGCTCTAGCTGTCAAATCTAAATGTCATTTACTGTGATACAGGCACAGAAAGTGTCACCAGGAGGCACAGCACTCCTGGTGTGTGTGCTGCAGGTGGGATCTTGTCTGTGTGTCCCTCTCTGTGCATCCTAACACGCTGCATGCCAGGGTGAAGAAAAGGCAGAGCAGAGGCAGGAGGAATCTCTGGAGTTCCCAGCAAATCCAGGCAGATGGATGGAGGTCAACACTTGCTGTAGAGCCAGGATACCAAACTGCAGAGCCCTGAAAGGGTCTGAGCACCCCACGGGGGCTGACTGCAGCCCCAGAGCTGCTTCCCAAGCCCAGCCCTTGCCCTGGCCTGCAGCTTGGGCAGGATGAAAGGAGCGTGGGCAGCACCAGCAGAGCAGGAGAGGAGGATGCTGGCACCAGGTCAGGGCCAGAGCTGGAATGGGGAACCCCAAATCTGAGCACCTCACCTGTGAGGTGGTGCCACCCCATATCCAACAGCCAGGCCCTGGCCACCAGAGGGGTCTCAGGGAGCCCTGCCCTGCAAGGTGAGGATTTTGTGGGCCTGAGCCTCTGGGGTTGTGTCCTGAGACAGCCCTGGGAGCTGGCACTGGCAGCTGCTTGCTGACAAGGAAACTGCTGCCAGCTGGGCTTTTTTATCTTTTGCCTGGTCATTGTTCAAATGTCCTTGAGAGCAGAGCAGAGGGAGTGCTAGAGCCCTTGGTAGGAATAAAAGGACAAGGAACAAAGGGCCAGGCAGGGGAGCTGGCACTGCTCCTACTGTGGCACATCCTCCTCAACCCCTTTCAGGGGATCAGGGGGGAATGCAGGAGGCTGGAAAAAGCAGGACAGCAGGAAAAAGCAGGACAGCAGGAAAAAGCAGGACAGCAGCTAACAGGGAGGTGCAGAGCTGCTGGAAAGCTGAGTGTCTGGCAGAGGGAGAATGAGAACAGCTACCTCAGGGGCCTGTGCCCACCTCTGGCTGTAAATCACAAGTCAGCACCATTCAGAACAGCAGCAAGAGCTCACATTTGGAGAGCTCGCTGGAAAATGGGCTAGAGCAGCAATTCCACTGGGAAAAACAGTTTTGTCTAGCTAATGCTCCCAATATCCTGTGGGCAGTGCCCTGATGTGCTGGGGTGCCAGCAGCTGATGTCCCAGAGATGCAGCTTCATGCTGACCCCATTTCCCAGCAGCTGATGTCCCAGAGATGCAGCTTCGTGCTGACCCCATTTCCCAGCAGCTGATGTCCCAGAGATGCAGCTTCATGCTCACCCCATTTCCCAGCAGCTGATGTCCCCCCTGATGTGCTGGGGGTCCCAGCTCAGGGTGTGCCAGCTGCCCATGCCCAGCCCATGCCCTGCACACCAGCAGCTCCCTGCCTGCTCCCCAAATCAGCCTCACTCACACAGCTCCAGAGCCAGGACTGACCTTAACCCTGCGGCTCCAACACAGGGAGAAAACAACCGTGGGTGAGGATTTACAGAGACAGTGTTACTGACTGAGCTGATAAGGAAAAACTGACTCAGAAACACCAAAGAGACCAAGGCAGAAAGAGAGTCCGGCCCTACCACAGGGACCTGCCATGAAATGTCCCTGTCCTGTCCAATCTGCTCCAGAGCTTCACACAGATGGAGCAGTCTCACAGAAGAGGAATCTGACTTCCCAAATCCACTGCCTTCAGTGACCACTCAGTCTCTGGGGATCATCCCTGAGCTCTGGGGTGGGTAGAGGCTCCCTTTGGGCCAGCATCCACCTTTGGTTTAACCCACCACAAGAGCCCTGACAGCTGTGAATACAAATCACTGAAAGAAGGAAGGCTGGGAAAGCTCCTAGGAAGAGCAGCAGAAGACAGAGGGTTGTTTTGACTGCTTCTTTCTAATCTGAGCTGTGGGACTCGCCCACACATCAGGAAGGCACATCTGTATTTCCCAGAGCTGACCAACAGCAAGCAAAGGGTGAAGCTGTTCTGGACATGATTTCCTCCTTGTCCCCACTGCAGCCACCCCAACGCCCATAAATCTGCCACACACCACGAGCAGCCTGTCCTCCCCAGGCTCTGTCCCCCTGCCTCCTTTCCTGCCTTTGTGCTCCTCTTCCTGAGCAGTCCCAGGCACTGCCAGGGTCAGGGCAGCCCAGCCTGGAGCATCCTGCAGGGCACAGCCATGCAGAGCTCCTGCAGCCCAGTTCAGCAGCTCACACTGGGCCTCCTGCAGCCAGCAAAGGCCCTGGAGATGCCAGTGTGAAAAATGCCAATCACTTGGTTTTAGAATTTTAAAATTTAGTTTATTACTATTATTATTAATTATAAATATAATATAATATAATATAATATAATATAATATAATATAATATAATATAATATAATATTTTTCTATTTAAATATAAAAATTATTAAATATAATAATTTATTATTTTAAATATAATTTATTAGTAGTAGTAATAAAATGGTTATAAAAATAGTAATATAATTAGAGTAATAACAATTTGGACAATTTGGATTAGGACAATACAAGACAATAGAAACAAAGAGTTACAGACAGTCCGGGTACCTTTTCTGGGCAAAATAAGCCCGAAAAAGGACCCACGTTACCAGAGGATTAACCCTTAAAAGCAACAGCCTGTTGCATATTCATACACCTCATACATGATGCATAAATTCCATTCAAACAAAAGATTCTGTCTGGTCAGTGTCAGCTTCTTCCTCTTCAGGGCCGAACGAGGCAGGAAGAAGTTAATTTCTTTTGATAATGGAGCAATAAATTCTTTTTCTCTGAAAGATTCAGGTGTCCTGTGGCTGCTATCTCAGTGCGAGTCCTCTCTTTAAAAAAAGTATCTTCCATAGCATAGTTTCTATTTTAACATTATGTTATAATCTAAAACTATATTTACCACACTACCTAAGAGAATTAATACAGCATCACTTTCTAAGATAACATATAATATTCATTTGGATATTTGCGAAAAGCCAATCATAAAATACGCGTTTTTCACACCAGGGTTTGCTGATCCATGGGCCAGCCAGAGCTGTCACAGTGCTGTCAATGCCCCGTGCAGGGTTTTGCTTGGCTTGGGAATGACACAGGAATTTCCCAGCACACCGATTACCCTCTGGGTGCTTTGTGTTTTCTATTTGGGCACGGATGTTTTTCTGTTTCGGGGGCTCTCCGATCCGCTCGCTTGAGCAGTCACCCTGCGGTGGCCGCGGGTGGTTTGGGATGGGCTCATCAGGATCAGATAAGCGGGGTGTGGATTCTGCTGTGCTCCGCACGCACAA